AGAATGGAAAAAGCTTTTTAGTTTATCAAGTATTTGTTTTCTCCTGCTTTCTTGGTAATTTAGGATGATCAGTCTAATTTTCTTATGTCAGAGAGTATTCTAATTTTCGCACTTCTATTTGAAACAGCTTTTACGGAATAAACTTGCATCAACAGCGAGAAAAAACATTGATAAAAATGCAAATCTTGGCCAATTATATAGGAGCATGCAGGAAGCTTACAATGAGATGCAGACTCCCCTTGTGTATCAAACTCCTTCTGGCCTGGTAAATAGTGAGTCATTTCCAAATGGCTATGATTAAGATAGTTAAAATGCTTATTGTTACAGTGTTCCTTCAAACAGGGGTTGAAAGAGCTAAAAGAGACCACAGTTCAACGGGCATCGAGTACCGGGTACATAGATGCACCAGTTGATGAAACAGTCTTTGATGTGGATAAGGATATTGATGAGCTCTTACCAGTAGAAGTCAAAGAACAGCGTCTAAGTAATCTCCTTCAGGCGTTAATGGTTGGTGCTTGTGTGGCTGCTATGCCTATCTTGAAAAGGATTCCTTCTTCTGTTCTCTGGGGATACTTTGCTTTCATGGCAATAGAGAGCTTGCCAGGAAATCAGTTTTGGGAGAGGATATTATTGCTTTTCACTGCACCAGGTAGAAGATACAAGTACGTCACTGCCCAATGCTCCAATCATATCTCAGTCCCTACTCTACCTCCCATCTTTGTTGTTCTAATATTGTTTCATAAGTTATAAGTGTGCATGTCGGATCACATCCCAGAGAGAGGTCTAAAGTAATTTAGACTGATTAGAATCTTTAAAAAAGAGATGACTTCTTAGTGAACTAAAAGATAACTTTTCTGAAAGACCTTTAAGAGTTAGAATCTATCCTCATTTTCACCATGACCTCTTACAGTTTCCCGCGAGGTTCTTATATTATACATATAGAATGTAGTCAGTTTTGTCTCTGATATTGCTTCTGGTATACCTTTCCTAATCTGCACATTTATCAGGGTCTTGGAAGATAATCATGCAACATTTGTCGAGACAGTACCTTTCAAGACAATTGCCTGGTTCACCTTGTTTCAGACAGTTTATTTGCTCCTATGTTTCGGCATCACATGGATACCAATAGCTGGTGTTCTTTTTCCTTTGTTGATCATGCTTCTAGTCCCAGTGCGCCAGTATTTGCTTCCCAAGTTTTTCAAAGGAGCACATTTACAAGATCTAGACGCTGCAGAATATGAAGAAGCCCCTGCAATAGCATACAGCATGTCCTATGCAGTAAGTTGTCAAAAGCCTTCCTACATCTTTCAGCATTTAAAAAGAAATTCTCTTTTTATCCTCATCAGTCTTAAATAACGCTCACCACTAACCATTGATCAGAATATGAAATTTGGCCTAGGAAAGTAGTGAATGAAAAAGTTTTAGATGGAAATGTATGATAGCAACTGTCCTGATGGTGTCTTCTTAATCCTATGATTTATGCACTTGCAGGATCAAGAACCAGCCTGCATTGATGGTGGTGAGCTTCTTGATGATATGATCACAAGAAGCCGTGGGGAAATCCGGCGCTCATGCAGCCCAAGAGTAACGAGTTCAACTCCCACCTCCCTTGAGGAAATCAAGTCAACACACAGCCCACAGCTATCTCAAAGGGCTTATAGTCCAAGAATCAATGTACTAAGAGGAGAAAGAAGCCCCAGATATGGCAAGGGACTTGAAATAAAGCAAACTCCCAGCCCTCAGCCATCTAAACTTGGTCAAAATGATCGCGGTCCGTCTTCCACCTAGTATTAACAAATATTGTTGTGAAATTAGAGTCTCTAGTTGTTCTCGAGAGGTCTTGTCTAAGTCTAAGTAATGTGATTAATCTTTTCCTAGGCATCTGTGTTTCCTTGTTTGTGTGCTTACTGGTCTTTAACAATGTATACTGTTTTATTTGTGATGTATTCTTGTATGCAAATCAAAATACTCTGGGCAGAGGATAGACAAACCATTATATCAATGAATAAAAGAGTGAAAATTTTCTTAAGTACAGCTGCTTTTGTCAAAGCTTTTCAACTACTAGCTTTTAACAGTTCTTCTGTAACTGCATTTTGTTTCATCTGCATCTGCATTGATCTTTTATTGCAATCTGCACAGACAAAGTTAACTCTGGACTTTTATTTATGCTGGTCCTTCAAATAACACTGAAGTTTATCATGTCACCTTTTCCACTCATCACCTGCACTGCTTAGCTTCTTTAAAACCAGGCGTCGATTGGTGGGTGGGATAAGGATAATAATTTCGAGATGTCCAGAATATCTTTGTCTATCTCATTCTACCAACCAAACGACCCCAAAGGTTAATCAGATAAGTATAATAATGACAAGCTAGGCTAACTTTATGTAACTTGTCCAATTCGTTAAGGGGGTGCACAACCTAGTGGAATGTATACAAGTCCTTCCACTCTATCTGCAGCTTGTTAATTATTATTCTAATATGTTAAAAGCAACCAAGTATCTTGTCAAATCTTAATGGAGACAAAAAATATGAAATAATGGCTGATATTTTTCCATTTGTCTAAATTTTGGAGGACAACATTACTTGGAGGATTAGTTTAAGGCATGCGTGCAAGTTGAACGGGACACCCTTTTATTAAAAAGAAAAAAGTAAAAGAGCATCAAAGTATCTTGCCTACCTAACTCCATATAAAACTTTGAGGGAGATAAAGATTTTATGACCACTTTTGGATGTCATAAAACAGATGTCTTAAACCTGATTTTGTAATTGGTCTTTTTCATTATCAGATCTTTGTGAATTATTTTATCTCTCTGTCAATTAAAGCAATTACAGGATTTTAAAACTCAAAAAGAATATAAAATAAGTATATGCTTACAATTGATTCATGATGTCAAGATACTGAGCATTCCAATTTGGTGTCAAAATCAACATGCACAAAAAGGAGATTAGATTAGGTATACTTACTATGACACTAAAGATTAAATGAGATAGAGAGGGGGATAATACTTGCGCGGAGGATGTGATGACTAGAAATTTAGACTTCGAGATAAAAACAATATTAATAAAAAGTGTCTCGGTGAATTTGAGTTGGTCGGAATCCAATGCAATAGCAACGTGACTAGATATATATATACAGATGCATACGATGTGTTTGTATATGAATATGAGTTAACATGAAAGAATAAAAAGGGAATTCGACAAGAATGACTTTGAGGTCACACGTATCGAATTAATAACACTACACTTCAATTTGTGTGTAACAATTTGCCCCAGTGTCAGATCACATGATTAAATTAACAAAAGAGATCAACTTGGTACAAGTCATAATCTTGATAAATTAGGACGTGATATGACACGTTCATATAAATTTTAAAATTTTTTTTAAGAAAGTACTTGTTAAAATGTGTTACGTATTAGAGACCTCTACTTTAAAGCAAAAGTATGAAATAATTAATACTCCTGAATTAGTAATAATATCGATAATGAAAAAGCATCCTTCAAAACATGTGGTTTCGTACACTACATTGGTGGCACTAAACTTGATCACAACTTCTAATAAAACTTATCACTTTCTCTGAATGAAAAAAAAAAAGTAAATGAGTCATCCCATACGCAAATGGGTCATAAAACTCAAAATAATTACATGTTTATATTCCAATCCAAAGTAATTCAGGAAATACCCATTCTCTAAAAAAAAATTACAGCTCATACCCCATTCATTAAGACTGATAGTTCTCACTTAACTGATACTAAATTAATATCATATTATTGGTATCATTAAGGCTGATAATGTCACTTAAGTGATACTAAATCAGTATATATATATTGTATTGGTATCATTAAGGTTTCTTCTTCTGAAATTACTCATTAGTCAATGATAATATAAGAGTATATGTATATTGTTGTGGTATCATTAAGGTTTCTTTTTCAGAAATTACTCATTAGTCAGTGTAAAAGGGTATATATTTGTAATTATTTTGATTTTATGGGATATTTACTTAGTTTCTCCTTTAATTTTTCGAAAAACTTATTTCACATGCTTTGAAACAAACACCAAAGCATTTGATTTAGAAAATTAGTACTAGTAATTTCATTAAGTTTTACTTCAAGTTTCAACACGAGTGGTAGTGGGCTGGGCTTGTAATGCAGATAAAGTCAAAATGAACTCAGTAGCCCAATATATAAGATGAGCCCAATAGGGCCATTGACCCGTTCATGCAACTTGGATGTACATTAACAGGCCCAAAAGTTTAGTATTTCGTGTCAATTTTGGGCCGTAAAATTTGGAAAAGTTGCACATTTGGCTAGATATTTGTATTTGAGAAAAATCTTTGTTTTATGTAAAGATAACCTACATTTCATAGTGGTAAGAGCTAATTATATCATATCTCTATTCTTTTCCAAATTACAAAGCTCTCGTAAAATGATAGGATTTCGGAACATCAGAAAACCTGCGTATACATAGCTCACAGATTGCGAATAATACATTACTTAATGAGAGGGAATAGGGATGTATCTAAGAGGAGAGTGATGTATACGAGAGGGGATATGGATGTATCCGAGTGGAGGTTTTTGTATTTTTTTTAAATGGTTGAGAATTTTAGAGAATATGGTAAAATAAAATGGGTATTTATGCATTTTTTTCTTGTATCACTGTCAATACAACAATAACATATCTAAATACAATTTTCACTTAAGTGAGATTTAAATAGGATAGAGTATTGTTAGATTAGGTCTTAGGCCTAACTCACACCCCAAAAGCTAGCTCAAAAGGAGGAGGATTGCCCAACATCTGGTGCGTGGGCAATTTTGATTTTGGGGGGCCCAACATCGGGTGAGACGGGCCCTGCTCTGATACCATGTTAGATTAGGTCTTAGGCCTAACTCTCATTAACCACCGATGTGGAACTTTTGTCATTCTTTAACAAGTATGTACAGACGTTAGAAGTTGTTTCCTTTTCTTTAATATATATAGTAATATATATCCTTTTTACGTTTAATTGGCTTCTTTCATTTTTCCTTCCTTCTCTTCTTCTCTTCTCATTTGTGCAAAGAAAAAACAAGACAAAAAAATCCAGGAATCTAGTTGTACTGAATGAGGCCACAAATAGTATTATTTGGTGACTCCATTACTGAACAATCCTACAGATTAGGTGGTTGGGGTGCTGCTCTTGCTGATACTTATACTCGCAAGGTTTGTATTTTTTTGAATTTTTTTTCAGTCAAGTTGATCTATTGAATGATTATAGGCATTTTAATGCTATAAAATCATTAGATTTGATGCATTATTGTAAAAGGCTGATATATTGAATCGTGGCTACGGTGGATACAACACCAGATGGGCATTGTTCTTGCTGCATCATCTATTTCCATTGGTATGTAACCCCATCCTTTTAGAATTTTCCTTTTTGGCACAATTTTTTTGGATCATATTATAATTTAAAGTAGAATATTTGATGGGTTGTAATTATTTAGGATATTTTGTTGGAGTACATTGCTTAATTTGTAATTTTGATGAAGAGTAGTAAGATCAGAAATTTTATTGAATTTGCAAAATTAATGGGCACTGAGAGAAAGAAAGATTTTGTGTTTTTTGTAATCGAACTAGTTGATGGATTCCGAGGATTCACGTAGCTGACCCCAACTTATTTTAGATCACATCCTATACCGCATGGTGATAAGATATTTGGGAGTTGTAATGATTTGGAAGTGTGCTGATGCTAGTAAAGAGAAGTATTTTTCAGCATTAATGCATATAGGAACTAGCTGACATCCTGGGATGTAAGGTGGAAAAGTTCCCCACTCTTAATTTGGGGCTTCCATTAGGATCAAGAAGGAATGATCAAAGTATTTGGCAAGGTGTCCTGGAAGGGGGCAGATTTACTCTTGTTAATAGTATATTGGATGGTATGCCTACCTATCTTATGTCCCTATTCTTAATGTGAGCTGCAACGGAGAAAAAAATGGAACTCTTTGTGAAGTCAATTCTTTAGGGATATGGTAATGCAGACAAAAATGGCAGGATGCTCCAACACTTCCTGCACTGTTACTTACTGCCAAATCTTTTGATTAGTGTATTTCTGTTGATATTACAGGATGCTCCAACACCTCCTGTTGCTGTCACTATATTTTTTGGAGCCAATGATGCTGCTCTTTTGGGAAGAACCAGTGAAAGACAACATGTCCCACTTGAGGAATATAAGGAAAACCTACGAAAAATGATACAACATTTCAAGGTTTGGAATTTTCTCAATTCAATCATGATTGTTCATTGCTAAATGCCAACTTTTGTACGTGCTAAAATTTCCCTCATAATTATGTTTGTCTGTGGAGGACTTGTCAAATAATGAAAACGGGAGGATCTGGAAGATGAAAAGTATAGAGTTACTAGTGACAATGATTTTTTAAAGTAGTATTAGGCCAATGCAGCAAAGAAAAAAGTGGAGTATATGCTATGCGGAATAAGTAAAACACAGAGTTACTCAATCCCACCGTTAAAAAGAAAATATTGCATAATTTATAGCTACTTTTTCCACATAATTAGATATAGAAGCATTGCAGCAATTTTTGTTCATATTATGAAGATACTGAAGAATCAAATTGAGCCTCTGATGCTGAGCTGTTATTTAAAGCTTGAAATTTTGTGAACAATATTTTTAAGGTCAGGTTAGTAGTCATTTCTATCTCATGGACTTCCTTGTCCGGCAATTTTGTAATTTGTGAAGCTTCACTACCGATTGTGGTTGTGGATATCCTGTGTTAATCAAATAAATTTATTGTAGGTTACTATATTCTTGAAGGCTGATAGGGTTATTTGCCTCTTAGTCGTACCTTTTGTTCTTCTTCTTGCCCACTTTAGAAGAGGAACACTTATATTGGTGGACTTACTACGAGTATAAGATTCAGATATGAACTTGGCAGGGTATGTGCAATTTTTAGCATATTTGTATTGTATTTTCAAGGTTAATGCAAAGTGAAGATATACATATCAAACCTGTTTGACATGATTACGTCTTGGCAAAGATAAGAGTCGGTGTATCATAGAGGAACACATATTCTTCATTAACATCAGAAAGAGTTAGGAGCCAATGCAACACAAAGGAACACATATCCGTTAGTGACATCAGAAAGAATGAAATATCTATTAAACCAAGTTTGGAAGACGCTATGCAAGTTGTGTTATGGTAGTCCATGATGGTATGCAACCTTGCAAGAAAACCTAGTTGCTATGCTAGTTGAAAGACATGCAGATTCTGCCCAATTTTTTGTTCATACTCTTGCTAAAATGGTAGATTTCTATCATAAGTGAGTGACTTTACTTAAAACCCAAATGATTTGCAAAAGAAAAAAAAAATCATTCAATTTTGCAGGAATATCTTAATTTTACAAACTATTCATTACCACAAATAAATGAGAGAAGTACAATGCAGGAAAATGGGAATGTTAAATTTGCAAAAGCAAGCTGAGTATTTTCCTTAATTGGCATAAGCAGGCCGAGTATAGATCTGGGTTGAGCTTTGCTCTATTTTGTATATCTCATTCATTTTATTTATAACACAGAAATGCTCCCCGTCAGTGCTAGTATTGCTGATAACTCCACCACCAATTGATGAAGCAGGACGGTTTGAATATGCAAGGTACGATCCACTTTCTCTTTATTCGTAAAATAAATAAAATGAGGCAACCAATTGCTATTCTGTTTTTTTTTTTAAGAAAAATTCTATGGCATCTAAGATGTTGGAGAACTTCTTGACACACCCCTAGCTCCTTTTAGCAATGGGATAGAACTTTAACTGTTCACAAGCAGAGTAGATAGCAGTATCCATAACTTATCAGCATATAACTGGAGAGATAAGCCAACCTCTCAAACATGAATCGGAGAGAATAATCTAACTTCCATCGAAAAATCCAAAACAGTGAAAGCAAAAAGAAAGTGGGAATGAGCAAATTGGTTTTTGTGTGCAGTGCCTATTTGAATGATAGATTACAGCTATTGCTGCAAAGACAGCTTCAGTATCATTAGGCACTGTCCATTGTCACGGCTATCAAACAGTACCCCATATAGCAGCCCATTATGCAGTTTCACACGAGACCAGCCCGACACCAGTGTCCCCTCATCAAAGAGGACATTCCTTTCTATAATTTTTACAGCAACAGTTGAGCAAATGTTCCTTATCATGTACTCCATGGACATCATGTCATATTCTTTGCATTGTTCTTTGGTCATTTTCCTTTTAGCCAATTTTTTCCACTTCGTTTTCCCTCTAAAAGCAAAGCAGTTCAGTTTTTTAACATTTGCAAGTGGATCAACTCTATTAGCGAAGCCAAGTTTTTTTTCCTATTTAATTTTTCATTTCATTTATTCAGCTTTTGGTATTGCATGAGTTTAAACATAAGTGTTTCACTGTCAACTGAATAAAATATTATTGTGTTGGGATATCTTACTTTTCAATTTTAAAAACAGGTCCCTATATGGAGACAAAGCAATGCAATTGCCAGAAAGGACAAATGAAGTTGCCGGAGAGTATGCAAAACAGTGTGTTGAATTGGCAGAGGAGCTAGGTCTCCCTTCTGTCAATCTGTGGTCTAAAATGCAGGAAACCGAGGGTTGGCAAAGAAAATTCCTCAGGTAAGTGACAAACTCTGCAGATCCTTTTAAGTAAAAAACTTTGCATAGTTCCATGAATATTTGAAGTTCGTTGTACTATATGGTGTTAGAGGAATGATCATGCCTATATATGTTTTATAAGAATGATTGGGAGTTCAGGGGAATGGGTGGGGGCGATTGACATTCTTGTTACAAGGTTATCAATATACGTGTGTCTGGACAGTTACTCTGCTTAGTACTTGTGCGATATTCTTAGTGGTGAAATGTGAAAATTCTCATTTGTTTTGTTTTATTTTGCTACAGTGATGGCTTACATCTCACACCAGACGGTAATGCCATTGTTTACCAAGAAGTCATTAAAGTGTTCAATGAAACAAGTCTCTCTGCTGCAAAGATGCCTGCTGATGTCCCTCACCATTCAATAATTGATGGACAAAAGCCCGAGAAGGCCTTCCAGCTACAATGCCCTGCTATCTAATCCTATATTTCAATGAGAAAGAAGCAAAAGGGTATTGTCTTCCCTGACTCCATCAAGCTCAAGAGTGGTAATTGCTTTCAAGTTTCCTAGGTTTCAAAGGATTCAGACAAATGACAGTTGAATTCACACCTATACTAGTTTTATCAACAAAAGAATGCCTTTCAGATTTGATTTAAATACAGAAACTTCTCTTTGCTTTGATGAACATAAAAATTGTGATGTTTTGGATTGTGTACACACCCTCCTCAACATTATGGTATGAAATGCAACAAGAGTAGACAGCTCAACTAATGTTTTTTAGTAACAAAATTGCTTTTACTACCAAAAGTGAGGTGAAAGATTGTAAGAGTTGTACATGTCATGACAGGGTAAAATGGGAGGATAAGGTTAAATAATACAAGTTCTAATATTTTAAAATAAATGAAAACGAAATAGTGTCATATAAGATGAAAAGGAAAAGGTGCTTAATATGGTGAATCATTTTGTTAGAAAAAATCTTGTCAATATTGCCACACCCTTTTTTGTTGGGGTCGTCCATCCGGCGTTTGGTATCAACATTGGAGTCCGACTATATCCTAATTCGCTTTGGGAAGTCCCAAATTAGGGCATGCGTTTTTTTCTTTTGGTTTTCCATCTGATGTCTGATATCCACATTGGAGCCTGACTAAATCCGAATTCGATCAGAAAAGTTCACATTTGGGGGGGAGGGAGGGGGGGGGGGGGTTAAGCGCTCCCTAAAAAAGGTTTGCTCTTATCGTCCTCATCCACCGCAACAACCTTTTTTGGTATTCTTCCCTTCAGGATTCAGCATAATCTTGGAAGAAATGTTCGCCCTAGTTTCTTTCCTGCCATTTTGTGCATAGAGGACTTGGACAATTTAGGCTTATATTCACTTTGCTATAAGCTTAAATTGTCCATTTCTAGGGCTTTATACTGAGTCGAATCAAAGAGTTCATCTCTGTATAAAAAGACAAGAAAGAAAATAGGTGAACATGTCTTTCAAAATTATGCTGAAACCTAAAGGAAAGAACACCATAAAGGTTGCGGTGGCGGATGAGGATAACAAGAACAATCATCTTCAATGCCAATACCACAAACCCAACAAATAAGGGGTGTAACAAATATCACCCTTTTTCGATATATTTTTCCTAGTGATTTGAGAGTTGATATCATACCTCACTTAATATACCTATTTCATCTTCTAATAAAATTTGACCAATATGCCTTTAAATTGTTTTTATTTTATTTTAAATAATAATAATAATAATAATAAAATACTATAGGTAGCTGCTGAATTAATTCATTATAATGGACTCAACATTACGTTTGCTAAGTCTTACTATGTCATCTATGATAATTTTCTTACTATTAATAACACTTAAATGTTGTTTTTTTAAAAATAACACTTTAATGTGATAGGGAGTAATTTCAGAATTTACTTCTGCGCAAAAAGCCTATTCGTAGGTACTAAGACAAACATTCTAATTGTCCAATTAAATGGTCAAAGTATTTATTGGTAGACTATAATGGTAAAAAATCTTTATTACATTTAAAGACTATAAAAATATAAAGTACTAAACTAAAACACGAAACATGTTTTTTTTTTTTTACCTATGGTAAATTTCTTTTCCAGAAATTAAAATGGGTTTTCAACATAAATTCTCACATGAATATTTTGACAAAAAAAAAATCCATTTTCAAAACATTTATCATATCATTGTATTTTAAATATATAGAAATATTTGGTCATATTTAATTAATGCAAAGGGCCAAAACTAAAATTGAAGAGTAATAAATTTTTGATTTTGAAAATGTATTTAGGAAAATTGTTTTTAAGGAACACTTATCTCAAAAGAAACTTTATTATCCTGAGTCAAAAATTTATTAAATTGCAGTCAAGTTTTATTACATTCATTTACACTAAATATAACAAGGAATTGCTACTATTGACTACTGCTTTAATTGAAGAAATGTTATTGACTTATTCTTCAATACTAAGTCAAATTTCATATTATGTGAATTTATCAATTGAAGCAGATATTTAGTGGTACATTTACTATGTCAAATATATTTGTAATTCGTCAGGATTAGCAAAGAATTTTATTATTTAACTATTGAATTTATCTATCGCTAATTTCTATTTTTAAACACTGATTTATATATGAATGGAAAAGAAAAAATGAATAAAATATTATATACTAATTTGGAATATCATTCCACCTACTAATTCTTTGTGATAATAAGTTTGGATCTAATTTTAGATACATACAAAATTGACCTGAGTTGATTAGTCACAACAATTCTTGGAAAAGAGAAGTGGTATTGAATTAACTTTTCTTTAATGTATATTTCCATCTATAAAAAAGGTAAAATGTACTTAATAATACATACCCAAGAAAAAAAGGAAAATTTGACTAGATAAAAAATCAAAGAAAAAAATAGATTTTGCAATCAAATCAGTCAAATTCAAGAAAAAAAATATCTACTTGGGAAATCCAATCATTTATACCTCTATTTAGTAACTACTTTGTTTTAAGTCTAACAAAAACAAGTCTGGTGTTTTAAATTATATTTTACCATTTAGATCACTCATATATAAAAATATCGAGTTTAATTTATATATATTGACAATAAAATTTTAACAATCTTGCAATTATTCTATATACATAAAGAAGTTTTTACACATTGATTACAAAAAAAAAATATTTAAATAAGCTGGCCACTATAGTTACAAACGCAAATATCACTCGACAAGTCTGTAAAAATAATACTAATTGACTTGCTACCACAATTAAAATTCTTTAACAATATAAAATATAAGTAAATAACTCACCTCCTAATTAAAAATTCTTTTTTTTTTAATTAATAATATCATAGTATAAAATTAAACTTCAAAAGGTCCAGGTACATTCACATTCAACAATGCAATAAATCTCACTCCTTTACTACTACCATTAAGATAACAAAGAGAAAAGGAAATTAATTATAGATAGCTAGAGAGCTCCATTTTTACCCCTCTAATTCCTCCTTTAATTTATTTTTCTCTCATACTAATTTTCTTCCAATGGAACTTGATCCATTTTTTATGTCCAACAACAACATGTTGAAACAAGAAAATGATGATTTTTGCATAGACTCTAAAGATTATCTTCAAGATTTTGAGCACCTTGATCTTAATTTTTCTAATACTTTCAACAATTTTTCTGAAAATTTTGTGATTGATGGTAACACCAATGGTACTTATCATGACCCCTTTGATCCATTTTCTAATATTGAGGATAATTTTTCTTCATTAGGGGATTTTAACTTTAGTAATTATGAGCTTAACCCATTTGATCAAGAAAATGGAGAGAGTAGTGGTATCAAAGTCATGAAGAATAATTTTCATGTTGTTGATGGTGTGAATGTGCCTGATGATCAAAGTTCATGTGTCACTGGTGATATTTATCATAACAACTTATCTTCATCTATGAAGAAAAAGCTAGGTGGGGATAGAGGGAGGCCGAAGAAGTCTAAATCGTCTAAAGGACAATGGACGATTGAAGAAGATATGTAAGTAACCATATCTCGACTATTGAATTATATCATCATCTCATCAGAGTGCATATGTACTTTTAGTTACTTATTTATGTTATAACTATTGAATTATATCGGAAACAATGCCTAGATTGTTACACATTTTTTTGTGCCCTTAAAAACTTGCTTTGGTTAATTTTCTATATTTTAAAGAAATTAATTGATATTTTTTTTCCAAATAGTAATAATAGCTTTATATTTTTTGTGAAGGCTTTTGATCCATTTGGTAGAGAAATTTGGAATTAGAAAATGGTCTCAAATTGCTCAAATGCTCAAAGGTAGGATAGGCAAGCAATGTAGGGAGAGGTGGCACAACCATCTCAGGCCTGATATAAAAGTAAGTATTTAACATTTTTTTCTTATTAATAATTTATTTTTTTGTAATTAATAATTTTAATCTTTCTTTCTGTTTAGGATCTTCTCTTAATATTAAAATAATATTGTTTCATCTTTTTGTTAAATACAAGTTTATCACATCCCATATAAAGGTTCTTTTTTCTTTATTTGTGATTGTTGTTTCTATCTATGTGCATGTGATGGATTTTGTTAACAATTTCTCTATTGATTCAAGTTATATATAATGACTCTTTTTTTTATTTCTCTTATGTCATGCGTGCATCTTTTTAGATCATGTTTGAAGATCGATTCCTTTTGAACAAACTAAATATTTTATTAGAAAATATTTCAAATGTTAGACGATAGTCCAATATTTTGCCTATAAGGTTGATCAATAAATGAGAAAAAAATAAAATCAAAATCTAATGTTTTTTGGAAGGATAATTTTTCAAAAGCTACATTTGCACAACTATTAAAAATATATACAAAATCTAAATGCTAGTATAAAAGGGGGAGATTTGTATAAATCAACCTACATACAAGTATTAAGATTTTCACCACCATCACTATAGTTTTACCAAAATAGCAGGTTAATTGCCATTTTTATCCATTTAAATTAATATTTATATATAATTACCTTATTATATAAATATTTTAACATATAATTATCTTATAAATGATCTGAACGTGTTGACTGTCAGTGCATAAAACTTAAATTTTGTTTGTATTTGTGTCGTCCAGAAGGATTTTTGGACGGAGGAGGAAGATAGGATCTTAATCCAAGCTCATGGTGAAGTTGGAAATAAATGGGCAGAAATTGCAAAGAGACTTCCTGGAAGAACTGAGAATTCAATTAAGAATCATTGGAATGCAACAAAAAGAAGGCAATTTTCAAGAAGAAAATGTCGTACCAAATGGCCAAGACCTAGTTCCCTCCTTCAAAATTACATCAAAAGTTTGAATTTAGAAAAAGGAAGCACCAAAAAGAGCAATGACACAAATCCCAATGGTCGCGTTGATTTGATCAGTCCTGTTGAGTTGTCTAATTATCCAGGAGGCTCAAGCTACACAGGTCCAATCCCTGAAAAGAAAAATGAAAATTTGGTCAACAGGCCTAATAAGCGCCATGCTAAGGTATCACCTAAGCCAGAAGCTATTGAATTTTGTCAAGGCAATAATAATAATATTGGTGATTTTGATTTGAGTGAAGTCCCAGAATTTACATTGGATGATACTTTTTTCATGGAAGAAATTAATATTCCTCATGTTGGTTCTTCATCTATTATGGTTAATGAGAATAATTATGAGAAATGCATGGGAATGGAGATTATGCCTTATTATGAAGTGCCAACAATGATGCAAGGTGAAGTCAACAAGGAGATTGATTTGATGGAGATGATTTCTAGAGTTAATTAATTATTAATCCATAGATATTAGTATAATGTTTTAGAAGATTTATACATGTTTAAATATTAAGTATGACAAAAATAAGTGTACTAGTTAATAGGGAGTGATAATGTTTCCTTGTGTTGTTTTATGCTAATTCTACCAACTTTATGCATGTAGTGAAAGACTCTAGTTAATATATCATACATTGTGTCTTATGTATAATTCTTTGGAGAAGTTGTTTTTCTAAAGAAACTTGCTTTTTCTAGAATTCAAAAATATTGACCAATCAAATATTAACAAAATTGAAAACACATTTTCTTAAAAATATTTTTCTTAACACATCTAAAAAGATTCTGTTTTTCACATTTTTTTCAATCTACGTGACTTGCTCCACTTTTGCAAATACAAATGATAATTGAACTTTTGTGTTATTTTATGCATTAAGTAAACTTACCTATATGTAAATTTAAAGGATCATTTAGCTCTTTTACTTTAACTAGTTTGATACACGTAAGTTACACGTGAATATCAAATCATGTATAATATTATTTTTAAAAATAATGTCAATATTATTAAATAGTGGATGTCAACTTTCTTTTAATTACTACTGCAAGTTGTCAAATCAACATCCGAAAAATGCCTATAACTATTTATAATATAAAGTTAGATATAGATAAGGTGATTTGACACTTCTCTGTGACCTTCAATATAATCTAATACAATATATAATATAAAAGATATATTTAATTTGGTGTTTTAAGTTGGGGGGGGATTATAATAATTTAACATTTAAGTTAGGTAGTTCATACTTTTAAGGTAGTATAGATATAGATTTGTCTAATTTTAATTTGATATGAAATTTTAATAAATAAAGTTATGTACAATATATAAAAATGTCTTTTAACTTTATGGTCTTAAACATGTCCAAAAAAAAGAGCTTTCAATATTTAACTGAATAAAAATAAAAGTACAACAATTAAATTGGAAACAAAGGAGTACTTATTAAATCTAGGTTGGACTATTCAAACAAGTTATTGATCAAATCTTTTTTCTCCAATAGTTTGAGGCTTTTCATAACTTGAACACCAAGTTGTAGTTTGTGCAACATAAAATCATTGAACTTCTTGTCAAGTAGAAGTTGTTGCAAAAGTATATTTATGGCAATGAAAATGAGTACATATTAATTATCTAGATAGTCTTCTCGTTTGAAGTTGCGTTATTCCATTCTCTTTGTTGCATCATTTTTTGTTGATCTGTCTAATTTATCCACAAAAAATATTGTAATTGCATAATTGAACAATTCTCACAGTCTGCCTTGTTTTAAGAAGAAGAATAATAGAAAACTTACAAAATTCGTAGATTAAAAATGTGAGAAAAATCCTCTATTTATAGACAACAAATGATAGTATGAACGAAATTGGCTGATTGAAAGAAATGAACAACTTAGTTGGGTAAAAAGGGTAGTGGGTGGGTGGATGGGTTGGGTTATCACATTAGGGCGGGTCAAATTGAAATTGAATTTCATAATACATAAATATGTCATTTAACTTGTCTTGCATTTACCCTCTATATATATACTAAATTGGGTGTCTTAAGTTTGTTGTATTATTGTAAATTAACATTTATGGAGTTCAAGTCCACTAAAGTCATAAAAAAAGTAAAGGTTCCACCGAGACTTGAACTCGGGTTACTGGATTCAGAGTCCAATGTCCTGACCACTAGACCATGGAACCCAATTTGCTAATTTCTCGGAACTTAATTAACAAATTGACAATTTCAATCAATTTTAAATGAAGCCAAACTTTGGACATTTTTATTGAAGATTTACTTGTCAAGACTAATTTTCAAACATTTTTTTTATTATTGAAGTACATGTAAAAAGTAGCTAAAACTACAGTCACGTGTGTGTGAAGTGTTTATTCCCCAAAACAAGGTATTGGAATTTCAACAACTCAGCATTCAAATCTACTTCAAGTAAGTTCAAATTTGAAGCATAATTTTCATATATCATAAATAACAAACTCCAATGATTAATCTTTCAAAACAATAACAAATCGAACAAACTCATTTGACATCGTTTTAATTTTGTATGACTAAAATGCATGTAAAAATTGACTAAAACTTCATTCATGTGCATCTAAACTCTGAAGTGCAATTGAATTATTTTCCCCAAAAAAATTATTCTTAAAATTTTAACAATTTGATACTGAACTTACTCAAAATATTTAAAACATAAATTTCATATATTACTAATAATATATATTTTAAAGAAGCTAAATGTTATTTTGAAAAAAGTGGATACTTTTTAAATGAGGACCACCAATTGGTTACCAGTGAAAATAGATATAGGTAATATAAAGCCCATTAACATATATTATCTCTAGCCCAAGTCCACTAATAGCCTAACCCTAAGCTTCACTACAAAACCCAATCTCTTCGTACATCAAAGGGTTATTCAACGGCGTCAGTCTTCTCTGCTATTTCTGTTCGATTCTCCGCCGGCGACAATGGTAAGTGATATCATGCAATGTATTTTGCTCTGGAAACTGCTTAGGATTAAGTGATATATCGAGAATTTATTACAATTTTCTGAAATTGAAAGAGAAAAGTAGCAGATCTTTACTAATCATTTCGTATAGAAGTATGCTGCTAGTTTGATTTTGTATAATTGTATGTGTTTCATTGAATCTAGTAATGTTTTGATGTGTTATTGATGGATTTATGAATGTTGAATTTTTGAAGGTGAACGTTCCTAAGACAAAGAAGACTTACTGCAAGTCGAAGGAGTGCAAGAAGCACACCTTGCATAAGGTTACGCAATACAAGAAGGGGAAAGATAGCTTAGCTGCTCAAGGAAAGCGTCGTTATGATCGCAAGCAGTCAGGTTATGGTGGACAAACAAAGCCCGTCTTTCACAAAAAGGTGAGAAACATTCTCTAGCATGTATACAACTTCTATGTTTCAATTCCAAATTTCTGCGTATTGGCTATATGATCTAGAAGATACATTTCCACTGGTATCAATCTAATAATCCAATTTTTAAGTGAGGTAGCTAATTCTATAAATAGTCATTTACAACAACATATGCAGTGTAGTACACAAAGCTAGGTCTGGGTAGTGTAGTCTATGTAGACCACCTACCTCTTACAAGTAGATAGGCTGTGTCCGATAGACCCATGTCTCATCACAAAACAGTCCAACGCAGTCCCGAGAAAGAAGTAACGGAAGTACAAGGAACAAGATTATAGCAAAAAGCAGATATTAACCGAACAAAAACTGCAATTAAACAACATTATATGAGCTATACTGCATTAAATAATCATTTACCTGTTTGGATAAAACTGATCATTGGCATTGCAAAACTTTGGTTACAAATTAAGACAGGTACAAATTAGTCTATGTCTTTATTCACTGTAAGTCCTAAACTGTTTAGATAGTATTGTTTTTTGTAGATATTATATTTTAGAATATCACCATCTGTAAATTAAAAGAAATATGAGATTCAATACACATAATGTATGTTTTGTATAAAAATAATGAAGATTTTGGGACTCTTGATTAAAAATATCGTTACTATAGTATTTTTTTTTATATAAGATATTTGCTAAAATTTGAATAGTGTCAAAAAGGATTGTTAATCTAAGTATGCTTTGTTATAATGTTAGGTAGTTTCTCTATTTTCAAAGTATGCTTTGTTATAATGTTCACGTATATTTGCCCAAATGATATGGATTCAAGGCTTCCATCTCTTATGTGATATTAGTCTCCCAATAATCACAGCTTGTTCGTTTATGATTTAAAGTGCATTGAGGCAAATGCGGTTGTGTTGGAAGTTAAAAGATATTGACATAAGGGTCTCACTTATTGTGTTAACAGCTCTAAAGACATTTATGTTTGCTTAAACAAACGAAGTGCTTATCGGCACTTTCTTGGCAAATACATTAATTTTTATCTTCAGTTTTAGTACTTGTATTCAAACATGTAACTGCCTATTGATAAATAAATTAGCTTCAACACTTCCAAGGTGTTTGTTTGACATTTAGTGTTTAAATACCTCTTCAAGCCACCTAAGCCAAACAGTCTATAGATCCCTCTTAATCCAATAATTAATGAACATTTGATAGTTAGTGACTTAAATGTATTTAAATAGAAATTTGATATTTAGGTCGCAGGTTCAAGCCCCACACCATGCAAAGCGAAGCCTGGTATTTAAGTGGAGAAGGGTAGAGGGGCGGGCCCATTATCCACCGAGTTTAGAAGGCTGTGATTGGTCCAAAGGGCGGGTCACAGACGGATTTCTCGGTTATCAAAAAAAAAAAAATTAAAAAAAAAATAATAGAAATATGGAATTCATTTGATAATTCAAGAAAGAGGGAGAGAATGAGATCTCCAATTACTAAGCGTCATAGTTAGTGTGTATGTGGGGCATGTTTGATATTCGAGGCTTGTTTCTTTATCACTGATTTGTTTTTATCTTTCTTTCACCTTTCCAAACCAGGCAAAGACCACAAAGAAGATTGTCTTGAGATTGCAATGCCAAGGTTGCAAACATGTGTCGCAACACCCAATCAAGGTTGGTTACTGATAAATCTCTACTCTGCAAGTTTCATTTTCATTATTATATATATAAAAAATATTCATTGTTCTTGATGTTGTGCAGAGGTGTAAGCATTTTGAGATTGGCGGAGACAAGAAAGGAAAAGGAACCTCTCTTTTCTAGATTGCTTGTGAAGCAGAATTTGATCTTTCTCTTCTGTTCTATTCACTGTTCAGATATTTTTGTTATATTGAATGTAGTCAAGGAGTTTATGTTATCAATTCACGATTAATTATGTGCTCAATCAGTGATATTATCAGGAGATGAAATGAATATTTCAAGTTTTTGATTTAGCAGTTTTGATTGTCTTGTTGATGCAATGATGCTTGAGCTTTGGCAAGAAAGTTCAACCGATGTACTGTCCTTGAATACATCAATTCGAACATTGGTGTTGTATTGTTTATTTAGCTACTTAAAAGTACACCAGTCACCAAAGTAGAATCTGTAGTGGAAGTTACATTTGTTGCAAGATATTTCCGGTTTTCCTCTCCCTTCCTTTCGGTAACTTGGAAATGCTGTGATTACTTCTTCTTTGAGTAAATATCTCAAAAGATACCTCGAACTTGAGCCTGAATGTTGAATCCACTTTTTTTATTCTTTCTCTTTCCTCCCTTGTTCTAAAAAGGGAAAAAAGAGAAGAGGGGGAGAGGGATTCATCATCAATATTTGATTGGATTGATTCGGCCATCAAGCTATTTTGTGGGGGTAGGGGACCAGACTGGTTATTGTGGCGGTTGTTGTCTGCAGGGTATGTGACACCCCACAAGTTATAGTGTTGAGCCAACTTTTAGAAATTACGTAGTAACGTCATTCAACTTTGTTTTGTATCAATAAAATCACTTATTCAAATTTTTAATCAAAAAAATCTGACTTGACAAATGAACTAATATATATATTATTTTTATTTGTTTTGTTTTTTATATAGAAAAAATCTAAAAATAATATAAAAAGAACTTTTCAGAATAATTTTCTTCATTTCATATTATATTTTCTCATACGATTATCATATGTTAAGTTTTCTTGATTGATAGTGAACTCCAAGGTAAACGTAACACCCACAAAATTCTATCATTACCTTTGAGTTCGTTATATTATTTTTATATTTACTAAAATTCTGTCAATTTTATTATGGATTAAAATTAAAAGATTATAGATAATTAATTAGTACTAAAAAGATGTTTAGTAACTTGATGTTTAATATCTCTCCTGTAAACTTGAGCTGCAAGAAACAATTAATAGTGCTCAGACTTTTGATCCCAATAAAAGTGAATTCATTTGATACGACATATATTTTAGGTCCAAATTAATTTGGAAAACTTATACTAAGACCTTAAGAAAAGGAAAATAGATGGAAGTTGTATTGCTTGACTGTCTTTTCCAGCCCAAGGATGTTTAGGATGTGGACTCTTCACCGACAACTTAAAACAAAGAAAGAGCAATATGCGTTTTCTCCATAGGGATTATGGCGTGTACGCGTAACTATTTAACCGTTTCGCTTTCTCTATCTATGCCCACCTCACATGGCCTTATCACCCAACACTTTCCTTATCATTTCTCTTTTTTCATGTCACCGTAACACGTATTGTTACTTTGTTTAACACACCTCACGGATTTTTCCTTTAACCCTACTCATACCTACTAATTTAAATTCATGCAACAACACCTTTTAATTTCTAGTGAGACGATGATGAGTGTATAAATTAATAAATATAAATAAAAATTGGTATGCTAATTTAATATTGATCGGACATAACAAGAAACTAAAAGAGAACACATTTCTTGAGTCAATACAATCATCGTTGAGCTAATGATATATCTCGAAGACTTGCAATTTTAGTATCATTTCAATTGCCTAAATCTTTGCAAAGTGCAATATTACTTTTTAAAAATATGTAGTATACATTTTTGGGTTTATCAAGAAAACTCAACAACCAATCCAACACAGAGAGGTGGGTCCTCACTTGCCACCTCCTCTCTATGCCATTTGAAAATTCAAAAGACTAAAATAGACTACTCCAAAAAGGTAATATATGATATGTCTTACTGGTTGCTACCCTTCTTATTTGTCTCGATTGTTACTTAAATTTTATTATAAACAAAAAGTCTCATTTGGTGTAATAACGTTATAGGGTGGTTATCTTAATTTTTTCATTTTGTCTGTACTTATTAATTTAATAACCTCATTTTATTATTTATCCTACTTTTTTTGTAATAGCTCTATATGTATTCTACTTTTCTTGTAGATTTACCCGTTAAATTATTAATATGTAACGATAAAAAATAATACAATCAATTTAAATATTATATTTATTAAAATAATACAGTATAATCCTAAAATTATACATTTTACACCCATCAGTATAGTTTTATATTTGCATGGGCATATAGAGATTGTGACTTTACATTGTAGGACTATACACCCTATTAGACATTAGCAGATCTTATTGGGATAATAAATAAAGAAACTTGTCCTCAAAGAACATCTTCCTTTTTTATTCTCTCTCTTCTCTTTATCAGTTTTTTTTTTTTCTCTTTTTTTATTTTTATAATCCTTAAAAGTAAAGAAGCAAAGCATTACACCCCACCCCACCACCTTGTCTTTCTTTGCTTACAATTAATTACTTAATATCAGTTCAAAATTGTTTACCTGGTAATAATACGTTTCTATAGTTAAGACGTCTTTTTAAAAATTCGGGACAACTTATGTACAAATATATACTGAAAAGTTTGGAATCTCTACTTTACTTTCTAACATCAATGTTGGTCAATTTCTTACCACCTGTTTTGCATTTTCTGAGCACAACAATAACTGTACAAATATTCCTCTTATATACATTGTCCATGAGAAACTTGCTTTATACTGCATTTCACCTTTGCCCTTAGCTTCCTTTATCTACTTTTACAGTACATAACATATTCCCCACAACATTTACACATCATATATCACAAGCTCCACATTTACAAAATTTAGAGTTTCAATTTTTTGTAAAAAATATGAAAAATATAATGAGTATTTTAACAAGAGCTCCAAAGAATTCTTGGCAGCCAGTGATGATTGCTGATACAACAATTCATAAGTACTGGCTTAATTGGAGGTTCTTGCTATGTTGCATTTGGGTTTTAACATCAATGATTTTTGCAGCAATACTTATAAAGAAGTATGAAGGTCCTCGAATTCGAAAAAATGGAAACAGTGAAGCCCAGAAAACAGAGTCCTCTGGTTTATTGTATCAAGATGAAGTTTGGAGGCCATGTCTCAAAACTATTCACCCTGCTTGGCTTCTTGCATTTAGAGTTTTCGCCTTTTTGATTCTTCTGTTGTTGCTAATTTTAAATGTTACTGTTGATGGAAGGGAGATTTTTTACTATTACACTCAGTAAGTAACGTTATTATAGAGAATGACTGTTATAGATAAGTCTGACTGTTTTTAACATTTGATTTTTTTTGTGGAATAGGTGGACATTTACGCTGATTACTATTTATTTCGCGGTAAGTGAGAGTAAAATTCATGGTTCAATGGGTACAATTTTCGTGTCTTATGTTATAATATAATGTTTGTTTTATGTAGATTGGATCTATTCTGTCGATGTATGGATGTTATAAGTATCACAATAAAATTGGTATTGATGGAACTGATATTGAGAAGTTAGATACTGAGTATGGTTCACAAAATTCAATTTCTGCAAAACATATGGGGGAAAATGCAGAAGCAGAACAGCCTTCTCGCCAAATTGCTGAGTTTTGGGAATATGTTTTTCAAATAATTTTTCAGGTATATCACGATTCGATTCAATGATATTTGAGAGGTGAAGTAAACAACTTTTGAGTTTTTTTAATTAAAGATTGTTTCTTTCTTGTTGTTATAGATGAATGCAGGAGCTGTAACGCTTACGGACTGTGTCTTTTGGTTCATACTTGTTCCATATTTAACCATTAAAGGCTACAAGTTAAATTTTGTGAGTATGCTACACTAGCTCAATGAGATTCTGCACATTACTGTTCGTTGTTGTTTCTAAATGTTATGTTATCTATGTTGCAGTGGATTATAAATATGCATTCAGTCAATGTTGTATTTCTACTTGGTGATACTGCTCTGAATTGTTTGGTAAGTTGCATACTTTTATCGATACCAAATGTGGTGTTTGTAGATTTAATATAGTTACTGATCAGCAGCTAATTCCCATTGTTATGCTATTTCAGCGGTTTCCATGGTTTCGGATTGGATACTTTTTTCTGTGGACAGGAGTTTATGTTATTTTCCAGTGGGTTGTTCATGCCTGCATTTCAATCTGGTAATGATAATGCTATATTTATATGTTGTTACATTTTCAATCTTGTTTGATTGATTAATTAGTATCGATGATATTTTGTTAAACAGGTGGCCCTATCCATTTCTTGATCTATCATCTGCAGTTTCACCTTTGTGGTATGTACTCCCTATCATGTCCTAAACTATACAAAAGAGCTATGTTGCTTGGATTCTTTAAAAATGTTGTGTATGCAGAATCCTATAAATTTTGTGTATTTTTGGAGAGTCCGAGTAGCATAGACAAAAAGAACTAGCAGATTACTGTTGATTCTTGATGGTTGCTCTCTTTAATCAAGAAAACAAACTGCTTAATTGATATTTCAGGTACTTGTTGGTGGCATTTATGCACATACCATGCTATGGTGTTTTTGTTTTGGTAATGAAGCTGAAACACCATTTGCTTTCGAAGTGGTTTCCTCAGTCTTATCAGTGTGCAATATGATACAACAACTTCCACGCGCCTCAGTCCCAACCAAGTCAGGATCGGCTTTATGAATCCTCATTGTACAAGGCCAAATAACAAATTTTCAGCTTTCAAGACGGATATACTAGGGGAAACACTTTTCTATATATATCGGAGAATATGACAGCAGTTCACGTTTTGAACACCAAACTTGGATCTTTTGTTCTTTTTTCTGGAAGGAACGATGAAATGGAAAAAAAATTATGTAGCAAAGTAGTTGTGAATCTTTAGAAGTTTAGGCAAAAAAAAATACAGTGATTTAAACTTCTGGTTTGTTAGATGTACATCTTGGGATAACTATGGAACAGAGATTTGTTATTCATATAACTTATTATTGAGCTCTTTACTTGCAATGTGTATAGATGATTCCATATTAATTATAAAGAAGTCTAAACATTTCTTTCCCCTTCTTTGTTCATTTCTAATCCTGGCTCCGCCTCTGAGTCTTGGGTGTTAGACAAGAGAATTAGTAGTACTTTGTTATTGTAATTTCTCTATTTCAGTTTGTTAATACAATATTCAATCTTCACTGTTGTTGAGTATTTGGAGTAGAAGAGTAGTATTGACTACAATGTGCTTTGTTAACTTAAATTGTAGAAGTTTCAACACTAGTGTTGAGATCTTTTGGTGGGGGCAATGACTAGATGTACTAGAAAAAGAAACTCAATCCCAGTCAAAAAGAGCTGGTTAAAGGATGTGGAATCATCATTTTTATATGATTATATCATAAAGATAGTCCCTTGGGACTTGGCTTTCATGTTTCAACAGGTTCAAATGGGCCCTTTTAATCCACAAAAGGTAGCACTCTAGGTTCTGTCTATAAGGACTGGATTTGACCATTGCCCCCCCATCCAGAGTCGTTGGTCACCACGCGCTCGCTAATGAGTATTATGTCTTTCTAGTGAAGTAGAGTCGTATTCATAGGCCTAGCTCAACAATCTCGGTGTTGATGTTCCTGTTGGGGTTTTGGGCCTTTTTCTCTTCCTATGTGGATAAATAAAAGTCTAAGGTTTTGGGTCTTCCTTCCTTTCCTTTGTGGATAAATTTAGCCCAAATTTGATTAGTCCACTTTTGCCCATAAGCCCAATATTATGGTGCATATGTAAGACTTTCTTTTAAGTCTTATTTGAGAAAAAATATCACAAGAGATTGAGAGCAGCCATATAGAAAGAAAAGTGAGAAAGTGCAGATTTTTGCACAAGCCCTAGCAACCAATTTCAAATCGCGATTCCCACTTCGTTTCTTGTCCGATTGAGCTGATTTTTAGACAGTTTGTTCTTTTCAACTTAATCTTTGATTGGGAACTGAGAGAGGGTGATTTGGAGTCTTGTAGCTCCAGATTTTAGCTCGTGAATAGTAGCTTTGGGTTTGGTGCTTTTGCTTCTTTTATTTCTAGTTTTTGGTGCTATCTTGTAGTTGTGTTGCTCATTGTTTGACACTTTGTTGGTGGCCATTTTGGAGAACACTTTTTGTAACTCTTGTAGATTATAGTGGAGCTTTGGCCTTGCGGTTTTTACTCTTCACACCGAAGAGGTTTTCCACGTTAAACTTTGGTGTCTCATGTGTTGATTTATTTTTCTTCCTTGGTTGATTTGTTTGCTGCCCAAACAATTTTATTCTTGCATTATTTTGTCTTCTCTTGGTTCAAATAGAAGGGAAAGTTTTGACTTGGGTTTTCTTCCGCTATAACCCTGTCGTGCACATTTATTTTGTGCTTGCCTTTCCCAACAGTTCCAAGAGTGACAGGCCAGGTCAAATTAAGATAAATTTGTACTTAATGTTTATATCAAATCATACAATTTAACCTAAGCAATTAAAAATTAAAGTGAGAATACGTATCATTTAATCACAGTTAAGTGATAAATATGCACATGAAAGACATAAGTAAATAACCAGTCCAAAAAGGTCCAAATTGGCCCTTTTAATCCACAAAAGGTAGCACTCTAGATTTTGTTTAAAGGGATTGGATTTTACCATATAACTCCCACTCTAGAGTTATTAGTGATAATGCGCTCATTAATGAGTATCACATCTTTTTAATATAATAAAACCATCTTCATAGGCCTAGCTAAACAATATCGATGGTGATGTTTCAAGCGTGATGGACCAAAGCAAATTAATAAGTTTGATGCACCTATACAATCAAGTTATTTAATTCAAAATTAGAGTAATAATACATATCATTTAATCACAGTTATTTGATAAATCTATGTATCAAAGACTTTAGTAAACAACCGATGCAAAAAGGTTCAAATTGGTAATCCACAAATAGTAACACTCTAAATTTCATTTAAAAGGACTGAATTTAACTATATCAATTCAAAATTATCGATCAACCAAACATCCACTAATAAATACCATATTTTTCTTATGAAGTAGAATCAGGCCTAGCTTAACAATCTTGATGGAGATGATTTTAATGGATGCCACTAGCAAAATGTGCTATTCAAGGTTGATTATTAATCCCTATATTATTGAAAACCATATATTATAGATGTGTAGGGTTGGTGCCAATTGCCAAACGTCCTTTTTTCGACAATTTGTCACCATACGTCCACATATCTTAATTAGAAATTAAATACTCTATAATATTCTACTACCCTATAACCAAATCAATGAAGGAAGCCTTTTTTTTTTTTTTTGTGTCTGTGTGTTTTTGTTTTATCAAATTCAAAACTGTTTAATGCAACAATCCATTTTAAGTATGGTATTTTTTTCATTTCAAAATACTTATCACAATTTTCTTTTTACGAGTTGAATTATATCAATTTTGATCAATATTTTACGATACATTTTTTTTATTATATTGGTGTGAGAAGAATTACAATTTATAGTACTTTTTGTATAGTTTTTAAATATCTAAATTTTAATTTTAAAATATCAAATTAAAAAATCATTTTTTTTAATAAAGTGAATAAAGCTACAGACCACTCACGTGGTCTATTTTGATCTTATTGTGTCCAATAATAAGTCTTGAATTGTTTTGGTCAGAAACCCTAATTTATGAATCTGGGCCCTTGGCAATTTTGACTACAATAAATTGCAATAATTACTTTATTTTTACTTATATACTGCTAATTCAAAAAATATAGAGTTGATTTATCAATTTATATCCAATTAGTCTTTTTATTAAGTACTAATTATTTTTCATTTTTCAATGAATAATAGACGTATAATAATTAGAGGTAATATCGTATAATTACTATTTTATTTATTGTTTTTAAGGCAATCTGCTTTGTTAAATATGAACGAATAAAGATAGACGACGATGATGATACAAATACTAAATAAATAAAAATAGTCCTACCCCTTTTTTGTATTATTTCTTACTTGGTGTTCAATATCTACATTGGCTGATGACTAAATCTGAATTTGCACTGAAAAGTCTTACCTAAAAAATAAAACATTGTTTAACAAGATGACATTGTATCAAAAAAACTTGAACCAAATCCTTTTAATTAAAGATCACGAAAACACTTTCTAACAAAATGACTTTGCACCAAAATGACTCGAACTGAATCCTTTTAATTAAGGGTGATAGAATACTAATCGGTCCAACAGTTTTTATTTCTATATATGATTGTTATTCCTTCTGTTACCCTTGAGCAAACTGCACACGGACTCAACTTGTTTGCCCATATTTATTGCACCTAAAAATCCCTTCTTCAGCTTCACTTCATTAAATTGGGTAACTGAATCACCTGTTTTATTCTTCATCTGCCACCAAAAATGGCTCTGTTTCAGTGCCGAATTCCATTTTCAGCAGTATCTCCGTCTCTTTCACCAAGAATTGAATTTACAAAGTTGTTTCTTGGAAATAGTAGTAACCCATTTGCTAAAACTACCCAAAAGAAGTTTTCATCTCTTTGTTATGCTTTGAATGATTCCAATAAGCATTCATCCATATCCACATTTTGTGAGGTAATAAAAGGTTTGACTTTTTTTGATTGTTGAATACAATTGTGAATTGGGTTTTTGTTATTTTGATTAAAGATTTGTTCTTTTTGTTGTGGGTGTGTTTTATGTTTGATTTGGTTTCAGTTGATTGAGGCTTTAATTAGTGGGAAGGATTTGACGGAATCTGAATCAGAAGATTCTCTTGATTTTTTGTTGGATGGTGCTGATGAAGCTTTGATTAGTGCTTTTCTTGTTCTTCTGAGAGCTAAAGGAGAAACCTTTGAAGAAGTAAGTTCCTTCCTTCAACTATTCACCCTGTTTCGATTGACTTATTTTAGGTGTTTTTAAGTACTTCTATAGCATTTGGGTAAGGTAAAAAAAAGTGTATTTAAGCACTTGTTTTTAAATCAAAATAAGCCAAAAGTTATAAGCGCATCCAATGAGACTCGGAGTAAAGGTTTATGTATACTCTTGAAGCATAATGTAGGTGAATGAATATTTTACCTTGTTCATTAGTATTTGTAGTCTCCCATGGTAGTGAGAGAAAAGTGGCTCTTCTGTGCATTTCCTTTCTGAGGAAAAAAAATCAGAAAAGTCTTATGTTTTTTTAAGCTCGAGCTCGTAGTTCAAAATATAATGTAAAGGTTCCATTTTGATGTACAATCCTTCGCGTAAGGGAGCATAATCCTCTGTCTAGGGATCTGATTTCACCAGAGCCAGAACGTGTTAATTCTCACCTTCATTATTGAGAGCTGGTAATCAACCATGAATTTGTCACTACTGTCTGATCCATTAAGCCTCATCGAACTAATAATGATTGCTAGGTAGTGGGATTGGCAAGGGCAATGATAAAACATTGCAGACGAGTTGAAGGTTTAGGTGACGCAGTTGATATTGTTGGGACAGGAGGAGATGGAGCAAACACGGTGAATATCTCAACAGGTGCTTCAATTCTTGCTGCAGCTTGTGGTGCAAAAGTGGCCAAGGTTGATAGAGTTATTCCTTCTCAATGCATATTTCATTTCATTGTAAGTTTGTGTACATTTGGGGCTGAAAGTTTGTGGAATTGAATTGTAGCAAGGGAATAGATCCAGCTCATCCGCTTGTGGGAGCGCCGATGTATTGGAAGAACTAGGTGTTGCCATTGAGCTGGACCCTGAGGTTAGTGAAATTGCTTTTCTTGGCTGAAATGTACTGTAGACTTGAGGACATTTACCATCATATGGTAGTTTTAAAAATCAAACGTTTAAAAATGAAGTTTATGCTGTTGTTTATGTAGGTAGCTGCTTTATAAGAAGAAAGACTGGTTGTGACATTCACCAAATCAATTATCAAACTAATTTAATGAGTCATCAAGCAACCAAGGATGTAATGAGAAGTAATTTATTAAAGAAAAGCACCCTTAGAATAGGCGATGCACTAAATCCCACACATTGTCCAATCCATTTG